TAGGCGGTATATCTTTAATATAAAGCTTATACTTACTTACCTTTATAATAACATTATTAATAAGGGATCTCTTAGGCCTATAATTTATTAATAGCTTTAATTTATAGACCTTAATTAGCCCTATAGTTTAAATACTTAGAATATATAGTACGAGATATAATTAATACTATATAGGCTATTTACCTATAAATATATTCTAAAAAGGGCGTCTATAGTTTTTATAGCTATAATTATATACTTTTTCCGCTTAACTTAGTATAAAGTACTAAGTTAGCTAACTAAGTGCCCTGCCTAGCTTTAGCTAACGGGTAAGCGTGTTGGCTAGTTTATAAGCTACCTACCTAACTAGTATAAAAATAAGGAGGATAAGGTATTATAAGGAAAAGCTTTTAATAAAGCTAAAGGATAGTTAAATAAATTTTATATAATCGCCTATACTAATAATAATATAAAGATATAAAGAGTACTATTTTTTAAACTAGAAAAACTCCTTAATTAAGGAGATACTATAAATTACTAAGTAGGTATATTATAAAATTTATAGAATAGTAGATACTACCTTACCCTTTTATATAAGTTATTATATATAACTAGAAAGATACTATATATATAAGGGTTATAGAGAGTTAAATTAATCTTAATTACTACTTAAGTTAAGGGGACGAAGGTCCTAGTTATATATATAAAAGCAGTGCCTATATAGGTCGAGATACCTCCTTAACTAGGGCGGAATATCGTTTAATATAGTTATTTATATCGGCGTGCTCTCTTTTATCTAAATAGTACTATCCGGGCTAAGGATAAAGTTAGAGCCGCTATAAAATAGCATTTCGAGTTAGGTTAGCTCCTTATATATCGTGCTTTAGATATCTAGTAGTTCGAGCCTACTACTATAACCTTTAACGTAGCGGCCGTATATAAACCTATCTCTTATAACGTTTAAGCTTTTATTTAATATACTAGCGTATACGTAGTAAGAGGCAGGGTTAATCGCCGCCTTCGTTATATCTTATAAAGAAAGCAAGGCAAAGAGCATAATTTTTTCTTTTTAAGGTATATCTATATTTTTCTTCCTTTTTATTATAGGCCCTTTATTTATCCCCTTGCCTTACTTCTTCCTCTATATTCTATCTTCTTTCTTACGAACTTACTAATCTATAGGCACCTATCTCTCCGCGTTAGCGTGCTACGTCCTCCCTATTTTATCCTATCTCGCCCCTATACCTTTAGCTAGCTATTAGGCTTTAGGACTAAGTCTTAGTCCCTTCTTCTCGATATTATATACGTAGGAGCCTCGCCTAGCTACCTTTATCCTCTTATAGCTAATCCCCCCCGCTAAAGGAGTTATAACGTAGAGACAGCACCTATTAAGATTAAGACGCTTATTTAGGGTGCTACCTACTACCTAATAAGCAGTTATAACTAGTTAAGCTACTGCCTATAGGTAATAGCTACCCTTAGTCTCTTTATTTTTATATATAAGAGATAGATCTTTTTTATTAGATAGAAACTAAGAGTCTTTTATTACCCGATTTATAGGGGATCCTCTTCCCGATCGTTACTTAGTTATCTATACTATCTATATATCTTATTATATAATAGTACTAGACACGTCTATATAGTAAGTCTTAAAATATAGGATATACTCTCCTTAACGTATAGTAAGCTCCTTACTATATTAGGTAGTAGCTATCTTAACGATACTTATTATTTCGGTAACTACTCTAGTAACTCTTAATATACTTTAGTAGCTTAGCTAAGTTATTAGTTATAAGTTTAGTATTTAATCGACCTATTATTAATATTTTTATCTTAATCTAACTATATAGCTAATATAGGGTAATCCTTAAAGCTAGCCTATACTATTTAAGTAGTATTTTTATAGAAATTTCTTATACTTTATTATATTTTATTTAATCCTATACTTTAGATTAAAGTCCGGCGGTAGTTAGTAGAAAGGCAATATAATCCCTCCCCCTGCCTCTCCTTTAAAATATACTAGCTATCTCGCTCGAAATAGCCTTATAATATTCTAGCGCTATTAGCTATTAAATCTTTTTATTAATTATTAATAGTCGTTAGTAAGAAGCAGCTAGCTAAATTAATAAAGTCTTCGTTATTAAGCACGAGATCTATAAGGATAATACCTATATATCTTATAAGCTTACTAACTTATTACTAAGGTTACTAAGTATTAAACTTATTATAGTTCTAGTTAATAACTAAAAAAGGCAAAGGTATATCCTTATATAGATTACTCCTATAAGCTAACGCTACTACCTAGTTAGGTTCTTAACTTATAAGGCAGTCCTTAGATTAGCTCTATATAAAAACCTCGGCCTTTAGTTTAGGCTATAGTAGAATTTCTATATAGGGACTATATAACCTTATTATTATTTACTTTAGACTTATAGGCAGCGGAAAAAGCTAGTTAAAGGTATACTTATTAACTTTAGTTAGTTTCTTAAAAAGAATATTATTAGTTCTTAGGCCGCCTAGTAGTAAGACCTATCTAATAGCCTTAGTAGAATATATAATAAATTTTATATTATTCCTATTAAATTAAGGTAGTAAACTCCGATATAGTTAATAAAGTTACTAATTTTACTATAGGTAAGTAGTTATAAGCTAGAAATAAGTAAGTATATATATATAAGAGTAATAGAGATATACGAAAATGCCTCTTTTTAGTTACGTTTAATATATAAAATACTAAAGCTCCCTAGCTATAGCGCTTAATAAGATAAAGGAGTAGTTCTCCTATTTACTAGTAGTAATCTTAGGTTAAGCGTTTAACTTTCGGATCCTAATCGGGGAAAAGCTTTATAATAAATATCTCTTTTACGTTATCCGACCTCTTACTATCTTTCTTCTCTTCTTTAGCCTTTCGGTATTTATAAGCTAATAGCACGAGCTTAAAGTTTAGTTAGACTTTTGCTCGAATTACTATACTACTGCCCTTTTTCTCTAAGTCGTCGCAAAACTTAATACGCTACTATATATTCCTTAGCTTTAAGTCTCCTTTTATATAGGGAACTTACTTAATCGACGAAAGCTAGAAAGTATAGTATAATTTCTACGTATTCTAGATACTTATAAGGGTTAGAGGTTAAGATACTTACTATCGAATTTATTTATATATTACGCGAAACCGAGGCTCGTATTCTAGTAGTCTATGCTTAGGCTTTTTACTAGGACTACGATACTTCTTTTTCGCAAGGGTCGGACTAAGGGCGGGTATACTTAAAGGAGATATTAGTATACCTTCTACTAGGGTAATTACGGTGTTAGTATTTACTATACTCGAGTATCGGCGCTTCGATCGTCTTAGGGGTATTTACTTATCGATAACCTAATAGGATAAGGGTAAATAGCAGCTCCTATATAATATAGGCTTTAATAAATAATACCTAGTTTAGCAACCACGCGGTAGACGGTCGGTTAGGTCAAGGAGTCTAGGTCTTAAGCGTAGATACGTTAGCTAGAGAGGATATTAAAGCTAGCGTTAAGAGGGCTATAGCTTCCAGAGTAGATATAATCCTTTAGACTAACTCGCTACGATAACGGCTATCCTTCTTTAATATTTTCTAGAGGCAATCGATAAGCTATACGATAGTTAGATTATTCGCATATATCGGACGCGGCTTACGTAGATATAACTAAACCTTAGTAATATCTACGGAGTCGTATAGTTCGTAGTCTAATAACTGCGATAATTAAGTAGATAACTGCGTTAAGTAAAGGGACATAATCGATGCTTGGTAGTTGAGGAAAAAGAGGGAGCGAGGTGGACAAGCTTCCCGCGGGGGATTAATGAAGGGTGCAGGCTGGCCGCGCACCGCGGTGCCTGCCGCACGCGGCTTCTACAGAGAACATACCCTCACACTGTTGGTTCGGCGAGCCCTGCGTGAAGGACGAGCCACCAATCGCGTGGGACGTGAGCATAATTGCTTCTGCTATTTGTGGTGTGCGCATACATCAACCAAGTACAAGCCTGAGCCTTGTACTAATTTTACCCGGAGGGCAGGCAACAAGATTTGGAGGGGTCTTGCATGTTTCATGGGAAGCCAGCTGACCGATGAGTCACAGGTACGGTACCTTGCATAACGCTGTATGGATACGAGGGCCTGAATCGGGTTGAGCGTCGCGCCCAGCACGACAAGAAATCGAGACTCAATATATAGAGGAAAACGAGTATTATTAAGTATTCATTCAAGGCGACCCGATCTGCGAGACTGCCAATGACTCCGAGATGCACTAGTACAGTAATGTAGCCAGGCCCCCCGGAACCTTCTCTTCTGAGGGCTCGTTGTTGCATGCCCGGGGAGAGGGGGAAGAGGGGGTCCCAAATCGTCCTCCTCCACTTATGCTTTGTTGCTGCATACACTGAAGATGATCAATATGCACAAAAAAAATATGAAGACAGTTTACGAGAGGAATACTTCATCCATTATAGAAGCCTCCACTATTTTTGTTCTTTTACGATGCTATGCTCATAGAGGACTGCTAGAATGCATTGTTGCCTAAATTGGGCATAGATGCTTTTCTTGACTTCGGCATAATATGTATATCCGTGAGCTCGCTCTATATACATGTGTACGTACTATTATAAGACCCGGTACCCAAGGGCTCCCTCCCTCGTTACAGTCAAAGGGATACGGATTTACTCCCTCGAAGGCTAGTTGCTAGTACGGCATCAGGGAACTCGTGGTGTCTTAGCTATAGGAGCTCCCTTTACGTACAGCAAAGGGAGAGCTTGTATCGCGGCATCTTTTGTAAAGCAGACTTAGCAAAGGCGTAGATTTGCGAGCGAGAATTTCTATAAAGAGCTCGCGTTCCTTCCACCAAGGTCGTAATCTTTTTCATCACGCTCCAGCTTGCAATCACTTGAGTCACTCATCCAAAGCCCGCACTCATTCATCTCGCTCGTTCAATTTGCACACGATCTCTTCCCCAAATAAAAATCACACTTCAAAAAAACATACCAACCACTCGTCAAGATGAAGTTCTTCGCTGCCGCCACCATCCTCCTGGCCTCTGCCGCCGCTGCTCCTATCGAGAGCACCATTGAGAAGCGCGACGAGTACCCCGGCCCGTACGGCAACGGCTTCAACGGCATCAACCAGGGTGGCAACTACGGCTTCAACGGCTTCCACAAGGGTGGCAACTACCACGGCTTCCACCCTTACAACCCCCTGGCCGGAGTCTGCCCCACAGTTGGCCCGCACAACAACCCTCAGTGCTGCCCCGTTGGCGCTTGGGGCAACGGCCACAACGGCTGGGGCAATGGTAACGGTTGGGCCGGCAACCAAGGCTGCGTTGGCCGTACGTTGCCTCTCTCATATTGGCAAGCTTCACATTTGGCTAACCTTGATTACATGTACAGGCCCTGCTACTGGCTACTGTCCTGGAAGTACTGTTCCTCGCTGCTGCTACGTCCCCTACGTAAGTTGAGAGCAAAATGCAAATCAGCGCTCCGCTACAGGACCAATGCTAACCTCCTTGCCTCTCTACAGCCCGGTCAGGTCCACTCCTGCTCCCACTCTTTCCACTAAGCTGGTCGCACTCGTCTCACTGTCTCACTTGAGTGGTGTATATTTCTTCTCCTTGGAAAGGTCTACGTATATAAGAGAGTATGGGAGAGGTGGCTGAGAGTTATAATAAATTCACTGTAGATCTACTACGCAGCACATTCAATTCTATACGGAACTTACGCTCACCGTAGAGCTAAGTTGAAGCTTTCATCTCTCCCATGAGGAGCTGTGTCTACGCGCACCTGGCAAGGGGCAATTGACGGTTATCCTATTTGGGCTTTAGCCAAGACGCGATAGTTTTTAACCCTTGCTTAGCGCAACAATCCCTGTAATCTGACTGTCCGAACCTGACTGTCCGGAGCCATCCCGTTAGCGTGGGCATATCGAAGGAGGTAACGGCGATCTTACAATCAGGGCGAACAGATCTCGAGACACACTCCAGGATAATTTTCCGTTCCTAGATACTCCAAGAATAGCGTGGAAGACTGCCAAGATAAAGGATACCTGTCCAACTGAAGTGTGGAGGCGTCGAAAGACACGTATAGGCACGCCTAAGATATCAGCCAGGAAGCTAACGTGCGGGCCGGCAAAGAGAAGAATTATATTGATAAGCAGGACTTATCGTGGGGTCGATTTGCGGAGTAATTTCGGGAAATCGTATGCGATTACATATCTACCATCTGATAAGTGCCCGGCGCCGCGCACGCGAATATCTCCACGGCCAGCAGCCCAATCGAGGCCATTCCGGGGCCTGGGGGACTAATCCACTCCGGCGGCGCGTTTGGTCGAGGAGCACTCCGTATAGGCTACTGTCCGTCGAGATATTTGCGTTGCAGCGCCGCGAATGGGTAATGGGGGGGCTAGGCTCGGCTACAGGAACTGCGAGATAGTAATGCACTGATCCTACGGCCCTTTGATCCTCAAAAATATGTCTAGTTACATGGATATAAATATGTATAAAGACTCTACGAGGCGGCTGGCTTACGTCGACGAGGGGCGGTCCGCTTTCCCAGCCGGGTCCTCCGCCCCCGACGGCCCTGACCTCGAGTTGGACCTGGTCCCGGCCTGGACCTGGGTCATCGGGCACGGGGTCCCTACCTGTACCCGTATCTGGCCCTGGCCCTGGCCCCGATCCTGGCCCCGCCGTCGGCGCTGTTTGAGCTCGTCGACGAGTCGGTTCAAGCTTCGGCCGGCGCGTAACAGCTCTAGCTCTGCAACGGCCGCCTCCTTGCATTTGCCGGACGCCATACGGGCCAACAGCTCGTCCCAGATCACCTTCCGGCGACAGAACTGCACTCTGACCCCGTTCCCCGGGCCAGCGGCTTCCCCACGTCTCTTCCAGCTCCCGTACGGCCTTCTGACCTGCAAACCCTTCCTCCCACTCCTTCCAGACGTCCCCCACCGTAAAGACCCTTGCCAGGGCTGTGACGATAGGCATGCCTGGTACCAGAGGCTCTGGGGCGGGGGCCGGGGCCGGGGCCGGAGCTGTATTGAGATTCAAGGTAGGTACTGTTGACGGGGCCGGGGCCGGGCTGGGGCCAGCGCCTCTGCTGACCCGGCTCCGAAGTAGCCGGTAAAGGTGATAGGGACCTTGCCTTGGAGGAGGGCATCGAGGCCGCCCTGAATCCCGTCCAGCCGGGCCTCAAGCCGGATGGCGAGCCGCTGACTATTCTGTAACAGGGCCTCCCGCGTGCTCTCTATGACGCCGCTTAGTTCCGGCAGCGCGCGTCGTACGAGCAGGCTTACCGGCTCCATAGCCCCTACCGCGGTGGACCGCACGGCGACGGCGAACTCGTCCCACTCGGGCCCGCCAAAGGGGCGTAGGCGAAGAACGCTAGCGACGGGTAGCGGAGCTGTGGGACGGCCAGGTCCTGCAGAAGTACTATACGCAGGCGCCGCATAAGCGGAAGCCGTCAGCGGCTAGGTCGTCGTCGTCGAGACCGCCTTCTGCCCAGCATTGCCGGCGCGCGCGCCTCAAAGCGGGTTCCCACTCCTCGATCCACGGCCACAGCTGCTTTTGTAAGACGTACGGGGTTCGTGAGCCGCACGCGCGAGTAGTCCCCGGGAGGCCGAGAAGCCGGCGACGATACGCATGAACTGCCGCGGTAGGTGCGTAAGATATGCCTGGCAGAGCACGCTCTGGTTCCAGCGGCCGGCCTGCGAGATCTGGGCGAGCGACGTGCCATGGGTCTCCGCGTCCTGGGCGCCCACCCTGCGCGGGAGGTGCGTCTTCTTCGACGCGATAAGGCCGGCAGCGCCGAAGATACGCCAGGTCTCTTGTAGCTGTGTCGGGTACGAGCTCCTGCTCGCGGTCCCGCCCGACGAGGACCTTGATCCGATACCAGTCCTGACGGCGCCGGAAGGACGGGGGTTCGCCGGCGACGTGCCAGCGCCAAAAGAAGAGCTGTGCTAGGCCCTTGCGTACAGAATAAGGGGTCCTTGTGCCGGAGCGCGCCCATAAACTCCTTCCTCGCCGTCTTATTTAGCTTGCCGTCCCGTAAAGGCTTACCAGGCAACCACAGGGGTCGGGCCTCCGAAGGCGGATAGTCGAGTAGGGATAGGTCTGCAAGCTCCATCTTGCGCCGGTTCTCCCCGTAAGAGGTAGTGGCCGAAGAGGAGGTCGACTCGCGTACGGAGGTTTTGCGGCGTATACGCGGCGCCAGTGAGAAGGAGATCCTGGATCCGAAGCCATTCATCGGGAGGTAGCCGGCCTGGATCCCGTCGCTTCCGCGGTCTTTAAAGGAGGCGCGGTCGTGCTTCCCCGCTGGCGGCCCCGTTGCTCAAGGAATCCTCGTACGGCGGCGCCCGGGGATTCTCCGTATTCGCGTTGCCGTGAGCCACCTGGAGCCTCCATAGCTCGATAACGGCCGCGATATAGGCGTCGATAGTGCCCCTCGTAAGCAAAGACCCTTCGGTAAGGTCTACTGCAGCCGTCGCGAGGCCTGTGGGTGGCACGTAGCCCTCGCGGTCGTCAGCGAGCAGCTCGGCGGCCTCGGCCAGGGGACCTCAAAGCTTCGGCCAGGCTTTCGGCCTCTGCCATGGCCGCGGCCTCGAGCTGCTCCTGTTCGCGCTGTTGCCGTACCTGTACGGCCTCGCCGTTGCCGTTGCCCCTAATCTTACCCGCGCGCGCGGCTTCTTCTGCGGCGGCACAACGCGTCGTAACAGGATATCCTCTTTGAGCCACGCCGCCAGCTTGTCCGGCGTTACGAGCTCGCCGTCGGGCCAGCTATAGAGCGAGCCGTCTGCTGCAGCCCGAGGCGTATGGCACCAGGCCTATACGCATTTGTCTGTTAGCCGCCTAGGGGCCGTACGTGACAGGGATCGAAGTGGAGGACCGGCCGGGGACGCGCCTTCCACTCCGCTGCTTCGCCGCGTAACTCCGCGTCGTGTTCGCCGGCTGTTCGTCCTTCTTCGCCTGGATGCCCGCCCTCCGGGCGGCACGGGCGCGCTCGTCAGCTGCCGTGTACGAGTCGTCCGCGGCCATCTCGGTCGATCGGGCAACCTTCCTACGGGGCGAATGTCTGGGCTCGGTTGGCCGGAAACCCGATAAGTCGGGTGGGAACTTATCAAATGCACTTATCAGGCGTCCTGCACACGATTTCACGGGCGGCGTTTTGCGGGCAATAAGTGGTCACGTGGTCTAAGTGAATTACGACGCAATTGCGGGCACCACCGATAAGCCGAGCACGATGACGGCGACGGGAGACCAATCGGTTCCACGCGGAGAACGAGTCCTGCTCGCCGTCAGGGCCTATCAGTAGGCCAATTCGAAAGTACCCGCAAGGCTGCGGCCGCATACAACGTCCCTCAATCGACAGTATCTGATCGACTACGCGGTGTCATTCGCCGACGCGACGCTCAGATAAACAACCTAAAGTTAACGGCGACGGAAGAGACTACCCTTGTTGACTCACGAGATTTGGGAATATGCTGACCCAGACGGCATAAAAGAGCTTAAAAAACCCCAATGGCCGGACTGGGAGCAATTCATTATTAACCTTGGAGGGAGACCTTCCCAACGAGAAGATGAAACCGAGGCTGCGTTCCTAGCGAGGCGAACAGGCTATAACGAACGATACCAGGATGCAAAGGACTCCTTTCGCAACCTCGAGAAAAGGTTCTAGCTATAATTCGATCGCTATAAGGTCTAGCAGAAAGCCCTAATCGCACTCGAAGAATTGATCAAGAAAACGATCAGTGAAGGGCTTCAGGGGACAACCCTGATGCATAACAGCCTAAGAGAGAAAATCAGGGAATTAAAGAAGCAAGCCCTGCCTTTAGGGGCAGAGGAGAAAAAGCCAATTTACGAGAGATATACGACCTCTATTAATAAAAGAGGCACGCGAGACTGGAAAGCATGGGCAGAATAGCTCGACTAAATTATCATAGATTCACGAGACCTTAAGGTCGACACACTCAACGATATAAGAATCAGACAGGATTTTCTCACAGCGGCAGACGAGTGGGACCTATATTGGTCTACAATAATGAGGGCTCTCGACCTCTATAACGAAAGACACGGCAAAGATTAACTTCCCTTGAGGAACCTAATCGCTAACTTTAAATAAGAATATACCTATAGGAAGAAGTCGTAACTACCCGTAAAAAGGGGAAGCGCTAATTAAATCTCTAGGAAATCAGACACCTAAGCTAAATGCGCTGGCTATAAGCAGCACGTTAATAGCTTAATAAGCTAGTAGGAAAATTGCTACTCACTACGGGTAATATATAATAAGAAGCCCCCGTTAGGCTAGAAATATAGTAATCTAGCTAAATAGAATATCGAAAAACGGCTAAAGGAGCATCTAGACGAGAAAGCAAAATGCATAGCCTAGACCCCTAATTCCCACCCTAAAGGAAGAGAACCAGCAGACACTATTATTAGCAATAACGGGCTAGGAAAGACTATTAACACGGTCACTCTATCTAGGGTAAACACGGCTATTAAGGGAACGCCGTTACTTACCGATAAATTAATATACGACTTAGGGGCCGATATTAACCTCTTTAATAACCTAGGTTAGTTCTAGGAAGGAACCTTTAAGTAGGGTTCTAACGACGAAGTCTAGGTTAAAGACTAAGCCTTTAGGGTATAAGGAATAGGAATAGCAGTTATCCCTATAATTAACGGTAGAAAGATAATACTGCTAGATGCTTACTTTATCCTAGAAATGCTAATAAGTGTCTTCTTAGCTAGGCTAGGGATAACGGCAGGGATATTCTAGAACCAGCTCCTAAGATACCTTTATTCGGAACCTACGAAGGAGGTTCGTATTAAACTAACCGACTTCGAAGGTTAATTCGTAATAGGAATACTCCCGTAGCGCAAGCGGGTATTCGCAGTTATATAAGCGCCTAAGCCGCTAACTAGGGGGGTAGGTGACCTATAGCATCGCCGCCTTAGGCATCCTAGTCTAAGATTACTAGAGAAGCTATTAGAAGCCTACCTAGGCACCAAGCTTTAAGGCCCTATAATATACAGCTATTAGATATACGTAATAGGGAAAGCTAAGAGGGAAGTCTCGAGAAAAACACTATCCCTAAGGCCTAAAGGTCCGGGGGTATAAGTTAGCTTTAACCTTTACCTTAGCCCTATAATACTATATAACGGGGAAAAGAACTTTGCCCTATTTACCTATATAGATATATCTATAAGGTTCTATTACCTAATAGAAAGAAAAACGGGTATTAAGGATATCTTTAATAACTTTATAGCGTTACTTAAGACCTAGTACGGAATTAAAATAACTATATTAGTTACTAATAGGGAAAGGGCTCTTTTAATAATAGAATAAATAGATTATATAACTAATAGAGGGATACGAGTTATATAGTTAGCCCCTTTAACGCCTACGCAAAACGGTTACGTAGAGAGATTAGGGGCAATAGTAAAGGAAAAAGTAAGGGTTATAAGGCTTAACTTAAAGCTTCTAGAAGAGCTATAGCTAGAGATATACCGTATAGTAGTATACCTGCTTAATATAACACCCTTCGAATTATATAATTATAGCTAGCAGAGCCTATACGAGCGTTAGTAGACCTAGATAAAAGAAAATAATCTACTATATTACTATATTAAAGATATTAAACTAGATATTATATATTTAAGGGTCTTTAGCTATATAGCGTTCCTAATAATAATTATAGTATTAGAATATATTAAGTTATATAAGACGCAATTACCCCTTAAGTAGAGAGCTTATATCGGCTACCTAGTAGGCTATAGGTCTACTTAATAATACGTTATATAGATACCGTTAATTAGATAGAATAAACTAATAGTATTAGCTAATATATAGTTTAACGAGTCTATAAGCTACGATATAAAAAGAGAAGAGTAAGCCTAGCTAGTCTAAATATATAGCTACGATATCCTTAGAGATATAGCCGTAACCGACGTTATAGATAGCGGGGAACCTAAAACCTTTAGGGTACTAAGTTTATCCGACGATAATATAGATAACGGTTAGACGCTAGAAGAAGTAATTACCCTCCTATAGGACCTATTACCCTTATATACTCCGGAAGATTAGGGATTAAAGACGCCCTTATAGGGATTATATAGATATATATATCTTTCCCCTCTAGAAATAGTAGGCCTAGGGATAGAGATTTTAATATTACCCCTTCTACTTAATACTATATTTAATATAAAGTTACTAAGCTCTATACTACCTACGCCCGTAATAGATACTATAGCTAGCAACCCCTCCTATATCTTATTAGGGAGATAGCTTAAAGATACGATACCTATATTAATCGACTCGTCTCCTTAAGACGAACGTAATAATATACCTCTTAACCTAGGGGGTAAAGGAACGATTATAGTATAGGTTTAAGAAGATAACCCCTAGTCCGAACCCTGCCCTTAACCTAGCGATTAATAGGGCCGGCTTAAGGACATTATAAATATAAGAATAACGTAGACGAAAGGATACGTTATAAGGGATTAACCTAAGCAACGTTATTAAAGGAAAACAGGCTCGTAGGCCTAAGAAATCCCTTATTAATAATATTATCGTAAAGGTAAGTAAGTATAAGCTTTACGTTAAAGATATACCGCCTCCCCCTACCTCCTTTAACGCGGCAATAGCTTTAGAATTCGTATACGAGTAAAAGGAAGCTATAGACTACGAAATAGAGGAAAACTTAGTAAGGGGCACGTAGAAGACTATCCTAAAAACTATTATTAAATAGAAAGGTTACTTCCTAATCCCCTTATATTAGTTCTTTATATATAAGACCGATAAATAGGGGTATATTATACGCTTTAAAGCACGTATTATAGTTCGTAGAGACCTATAACCTAAAGGTAACGAGGATATATATATAGCTACGCTACGAGCACGAATATTTCGACTACTAATCGCCTTCTACTACCTCGAGGACTTTAAGACGGAATAATATAACGTAAAAATAGTATTTCTATACGCAATCCTACGCTAAGAAGTCTATTACTAGCCTCTACCGGGATTCTTAATGCCTAGGCTATGCCTAAAGCTATTAAAAGCACTATATAGGCTCTATATCTCTCTAAAGCTATAGTTTTAAAGAGATATCTAGTTTCTTTACTAAACTTAGAGCCTAGCAGCTAGTAGAAGACGCCTACGTACTAGTCTATAAGGGCGTTATTATCTTTATCTTCGTAGATAACATCGTTATAATATATCTAAAAAGGCAAAAATAATATTAGGAAGAGCTATATAAGGCTATTACGAAAAAATACACCGTTACGTATATAGGAGAGCTACGCTAGTTCCTTAGTATTAAGATTATTAGGGATAGGGATCTTAAGAAGATATAGCTCTCGTAAGCTTCCTATATCTCTAAGACCGTAAAGAAATATTATATCCTTAATAATAATATCCTTTATAAACCTAAGATCCCGCTAATAATAGAAGAGCTCGTCCCCTACGAAAAGCAGGCCTTAAAGGAAGAGATATACGAATATATCTCTCTAATTAGGTCGCTTATTTATCTAGCAATTTATACTAGGCTAGATATCGTATTTATAGCTGGAAAGCTAGCCTAATATAATTATAACCCCGGGCCGCGCTATAGGCACGAAGCACGTAAGTGCCTAGCTTACCTTTATTATATAAGAAACCGCTATATCTACTTTACGGCGATAAACCTAATAAGGCGGCTAATATATATATCCGACTCCTTATACGCCGATAACCTAGAGACTAGGAAGTCCTTATAAGGATACGTATTCCTACTCCTTAGTAGGCTAATTAACTAGAAAGCTACTAAGTAAGCTACTATAATAACGTCCTCTATAGAAGCTAAATTATTAGCACTCTTATAGATAGCTAAGGAATAGGTAGCATTTAGCCGACTAATTAAGGAGCTTAGCATTAGTATTAAAGGGACTATAGAGCTTTAGTATAATAACCTTTAGACTATTAAGCTTCTAACTAAATTAAGCGCGAAGCTTAAGATAAACCTTAAGCACGTTAATATTTATAGATACTAGCTTCG